AACTCTAAAACCCTCAGTTGAAATGACACCGGTTGCAACATCACCATCGAAGGGTCTGTCGTAATTGTCTCCGTACTCCTTCCATTCTTCTTCGGGGACATTCATGATATAGCTAGCAAAGTTTTGATCGTGAATCGAACGGTTCAGATCGTTCCTAAGTTTTCTCATCCCTTCCTCGGTTTGTTCCCTGTCTTTACGTTCCATCTCGAACCTGTCTATGTCTTCGAGCATGAGAGTTAAGTAGTCGAAACCCATTTCGGGAGGAGGCAAGAGGGTGACGTCTTGGGAAATGGAAGAGTGATGAAGGGAAAGAGAAGCGGTAACGGCTTCTTGCATTTGGAGTTGGTAAGCAAAGTCGAGGTCAGAGTCTACGCTTTTGGCTTCCATTAGTTGTTGACGTTGGAGAGTGAGGACTGTCTTGAACTCTCCTCTGTTGTCGTCCTCATCGTCGTTAGTTTGGATGGCTTTGGCTTTGCCTCTGCCTCGGTTGAGGTTTTCCATTGGCCTGTTGGGATTGACTCGGAATGAATTTTCTGGGTCTAGAAAGAGTCGAAGTGGCGAAGAGAGAGACGACTTAGAGCGCACGCAGCTTATGGGAGAAGGGGTATATGTTCAATCAAGGCAAAATGATGTGAAATGTAACTTGATAATATTGTTTTATTTGTATATTTTAATTATTTTAAATTAATATTTTATGTGAAAAAAATTAATTTTCACTCTTTTTATTATCTTTCAGTAAATTATAATTATTCATTTCTTCTTTTTCAAGCTAATAGAAAAAAAATTTATACAATTTTTTAAACTTTATATAAAGTCAAAATCAGATATTATATAAATTAAAGACGATATTTAAAACAATAACAGATAATGGGCAGAAAATTTCGAACAACCTCAAGATAAATTAAATTACAGTAAATTATGCATATATTAATTTTAAAAAATCAATATCACATGATTGTTTTTCACATATTAAAAATTAGACCATAAATGATTTTTACTCTCTTTTATATGTATCATTTATGGTACTAAATATAATTCTAATAAAATTCCTATTCTTTAAAATACAAAAATAGGTAATAATTGATTAAGCAGTCATATTTTACTATTCAATTCACAAAAAAAAAATATTAGAATTACATACTCAACCATCAATTTGATTTTTCTTTTCAAAATATATCACCTGATCTTTTAATTTTAATTTTAATTTTTATTCTTTTCTCCATATCTTTGGGGATCCTCTCTATCAAAATCTATCTGATTTCCTTTTCTATTTATTTTCTTGGAAGAATCATTTGGTGATGCAATGATACTTGAATGAACATATTACTTCATCCCTCAATGATTATAACAACTGAACTCTACCAAGCTGGTTTTTCTCAGTGAGTTTCCTTATCTTGGCTTCTTTACTGGAAAAGAGATGTTGGCAGAATATCTTCCAACTGGTTTAAGAACTTGGCTAATACAATGTATGCCAAACTTACAAGTTATACACATATATTGTCCAATATTCACCAACCTTGCAATTAGCCAGACAGATAGGATAGAAGAGTGAGAGTAGAGTCAACAAGAAGTTGAGAGTCGTCAGAAATGGAACCAGTCATCCTCCTCTTCCTCGAACCAGTCATCCTCCTCCTCTTCCTCTTCCTCCTCTTCATCAGAGTCCCTATTTTCATGCCAAATGCGATCCTCCTCCCAGAGTGGACAAGAGCAAGTTGCCTTTTTGTCCTTCCATGCAGCCCCACAATTATAGCAAAACTCATACCCACATCTGCAAAACATAGCAACCATGAGATGCAATATTTATTAGCACAACACAATAAAAACAAAAGAATTAAGTCACTGAATATGATATGGTCATAGCTGTCGACTTCAAACACAAACAGACATATGATATGAAACTTATGAGAGCCTGGTATACGAGAATACTTGAAGAAATGTTCCATAACATAGTTGAGTAAGATAATTTGGTTTCTGCTCCCATGACGAAACAATGATTTGTTCTATTCATCCTCACAGATGGAGAAACAAACAATTAAACTACCAAACTATGTACTTCCTCTCAAGTCCCAACCTAGATCCACCATTTTTTTCTCTTCATTGCAACAAAGGATGCAAAGAATTTTACAGGCTTCAATCTCAGCATGCTCTCAAATTGAAATTCCTCATTTATAATAATGATTCTAAAAACGTGAATATTCCTTGACACCCAACCCTAAAATTTATAATATTTAGGTTATATCCAAGGCAATGGTGCTTAATCTTCCACCTCAAGCACCCAGCCCTTATTTTCAATCAATATCCTCCCAAGCACCTTCTCATTCCTCCCCCCTCCCCTCCCCTTTTTCTTTCACCTTGCGTTCGTATTTTTAAATAACTTGACCTTGTGGGGCAAAAATATCAAAAACAACAACAAAAATAAAACAATTAAACCATAACCAGAATAAAAAGACCTGCAAGTCATGTGGTAGCAACCCTCAGAAAGTTCTATCATGTGGTTGCACTTCACACACTGGCGCCACAAATTCATTGTTGCAAGTGACTTCAGCTTAAGATCCTCTGCTGGGGGATTAGGATTCTTTCTTTTGTAATCAAGACATGTCATGTTACTATGCCAAGGAACCTTGCAGTTGATACAGAAAAGGCCATGACATTTCAGGCATTTACTGGCTCCAGATCTCTCAGCTCCAACAAGTACACTTTTAGTATATTCTGAAACCTCACTTCTTGACATTAAGGCCGAGCACCTAGGATATGGGCAATAAACTTTATCTCCAACGGGAATTGAAGCCTCCTTCAAGCGTTGTTTCCATGTCTCAATCATTTTAGGGGTCAAGAACTTTTTACAGCTGTCAATATTAAGCTCAGTCTTACAGTCCTCATGAGGGCATTTGGGCACCATTCCATGAAGCAACTTCACCTCCACATGCTGTTTCATACAAGAAAAGCAGTATCGGTGCATGCACCCATCGACTGAAAACATGCACCCAAAATCAGTATCTTCTAAGCAGATAACACAAGTCTCTTTCACAGTCTTGCCATGGTTTTGATCTACAGGCCTCGTAACCTGAGAATCTACTGCTTCCCTTGCAAGTTTAAAGGCATATTTAATATCATTACGTGCTACATGTGTGTGGCTGCAATAAGCAAATTTGCTTTGAAGAAGTAATACTTGATCAACTAACATTGAAATTTTTCTTTGCTTTGGCGGCCATCTCCTAATAACCTGCATTGCCAAATACATCATGAACAGCATTTTCTTTGCTCTTTATTTTGAAAATAAAAGGCTTTTT